AAAAAATTACCTCCTGCTGGGGCCCCCCCCTGCCATAAAATTTCTTAGATTACTTAGAATACTTTTAGACTACAGCAAGTAAAATGAGGCAGTACATGGGAATAGTCATTTTAACAAAAGTTCACAATATTATTGTAGGTAGTTCTGTTAGAGCAAATCAGCTGTGGAATATTTTAATTGGGAAAAGGAATGTAGAACCTGCAGCTTCAGTACTGGCTATGAGTGAATGAAACTGATTGATTTAGTTTAACTAACATATACTTTTATAGATGGTGATCCAGGTTTTAGTCTTCCACTGTGATTGTCACTGCAAGATGTCTGTTACATGAAAATGAGTATTACTGTAGAGAGATAAGATGATAGAAGCTGCCTCTTGAGTAAAGGAGTTAATTCACCAAGACATAAACCAGAAGGCAGTTGGAAACATAATCAAAATAAAATTACTATTGAATATGTTGCTGCCAGACAGATGGCTTTTCTCAGCTTTTAGGCCTATATTTGTGGGACTTTGTCACCATTTGGCAGCCAAGAGTATAAGGCAGTAGTTCTTCCCAGGGTTAAAATTTGTAATACTGCTGTCTTAGGAGTGTCATGTTCACAGGAGGGCTTGGCTTGAAGGGAGTGTGGGTTTGACCAAAAGCACGGAGCTTTTGGTGCTTGTAGAGCAGTGCTCTCAGCTGCAGCGTTAGAAGATGGGCTCTGCGAAGATGAGTAACACTGGGCAATCGAGACTTGACTACTATGTCTCTTACGTTCACTGCTATAGCGTAGGTCTATTCAGCTATTCTTCTGCATGCTTATTTCCTTACTTCAGTAGTTCTTGCGTTGTATTCTGTTCATACTAACCTCAGCTTATTTTTCTGTTAAAAGTGTCAGTGTAGCTTTGAGGATTTTTGTTCTTTTTGGTTTTCTATGCTATGATATATGCAAGAAGTGAGCATGAAATGCAAGTGACTACTCTTGCCTAATGACTGAATAACCAAAATGCTATAGTAATCCTCTGCTAAAGAAACACTGATTTTGCCTCTGCTAAATAAATAGAAGCTTTTGGTCTTCTACCTTGAAATCCATAACTTAAAATGTTAATTTTACTTCCCTTTAGCACTTTACAAAATGATGACATTAGCAACCTTTCTAAGGTCTTGACTGTGCAATTAGCATAAGAAGTGGGAGACAGCACTATGTATTCCTGAAAGTTATATTGTATATCAGCTCACTAGTAAATGATTTTTAGAACCTTTTTCAATTATAGCATAACTCTCAAGGTTCACCCCCGAAGAAGAAAATATAATTGCCAAATATATGTAGCTAATTTGATTAGTCAAAGGCTGTTTTGTGGAAGTGAAATACTGGTATGAGTGAAACCTGAAGAGGAACCTATAGTAAATCTTCAGTGTTCAGTACAGCTTTCTGGTTCATCCCTTTCCAGATTCTGATTCCCTAACACCGCGTTAATGCCGCTTTGCTCTCCAGCAAACCTGCTGTTTCCATTTTGAACTGAAACCTCGGTGCAATGCTGTTGTGTACTCCAGTGAACGTGTGTGGTGGGCAGCGTGAATGGGACCGAGCCACAGTTGCTGCCCTCTGGGGTCCTTCAGCTTCTGCAGAAAAATAATAAATCACATTTCTAGACCATAATCAAAAGTTAGGCCCAGTGCTGTGGCTTTTTAGTAATGCAAGTGTAGTGTTAGTAAAGAGCCAAAGAAATATTTGATTTCTTCTGAACCTGAGGAGGTAAAGTAGAGTTGGGAAGAGCAAGATTGCAATTTTTGCTTCTGACCATGACAGCCACAGTTAAAACAGGGAAAAAAAAATCCTTTCTGAAGTAAGTAACACCTATACAAAAGCACAGAATTCGTAACTCCGAGTATAATGTCTGTTTGCTCTCTAATGTGCAGGTCTGTCCTTGGCAGTTTCAGCATTATGCCTTTTCCTAAAGCTTGCTTGTGGTGGCAGGCTTGAGAGGAATATGAACTGACATACACTGAGCTCCATGCTACTGTAGCTACGTGATTTTCTGTCTTAAGCTTTAAACCAAATATCTCCGTATCACAGTGCAGTGCAGATGAGCTGGAATTATTTCACTGCTTTCTCTTCCATCTGAGCTCTGCTAAAACCGCTGTTGCTATAGCAAAGGTCTCCTTGTGTTTCCTTTGTGGACACAGGCTGCAAACATGTTTTTAACATTAAATATACATCTCATTGAAATGCATTTTATTATGGTTCTTGCTGATTACTTACACTTTCTTGTAGGATGAATTTTATTTCTATAGGTCTCCACGAATATCAGTGGTCTTTTAGTCACCATCTTCACTGGGATAATAAAGACATGTTCACCTCAACAGGGCTGTACGGGAATATAAACCTTTTAATAACACTAAACTGAAATGGTAGGATAGTAGGACATCTGTGGATGTCAGGATGTGAGAACTCGCTAACTGTCCTTTAAAATAAATCTACGCTCCTGTAATTAAAGAACAAAAAAAAGAATTTGCATTCCTAATGTTTTATGATATTGTCCTTGATTTAGGCAGGACTAAGGACACTTCATGATATTGGTCCTGAAATACGCCGAGCTATATCCTGTGACTTGCAAGATGATGAACCAGAGGAAAACAATCCAGAGGAGGAGGAAGATGTTTATAAAGTAATGTCAGAACAGCTATGTGAATTGTTTTATCATATGAGATTAAAGAATGAGCTTATCCCTGACTATGCAATAATAATAAATCTGTCCCCTTCAAATCAGCACGAAATAAATATTGTATAAATAGATCTAATTTTTATATATCTTTTAAAAATAGTGTTACCAGGATACTTGCATATCATCATAAATTTAGGTAGCAATTCCTGGAGTATGATTCTCCTTGCCCCTAATTTTCTTGTCATTAATTCTTTTTTATATTCTTTGGTGAATCCTAAGAAATGGTATAAACTGTATCATCTGAAATTTTGATAGTGGCAAAGTTCAAACTGGAAATATCTTAACATCTGCAGGGGTAGATAGGAAGAAGGCAATGAAGTTCTGTGCAGCCAAACCACATTAGGCATGGAGCCGCCTGTTTTAAAAGGAATGCCTTGAATTAGACAGAAGTCAAATTATATAAATGCCATTTCCAGTGTCCCATGAGGAAAATCAATAGGAATCAATCAGAAAAAAAAGATTAGTTTTCCTCTTTTACACTAGAGATATTCAGTCTAGTGGTGAACATATAAAATTGGTATTATAATGAGAAGCAATCTGCAAACCATTTGTCAGCCAGCAAGAAAACTTAATTTTTCCCAAGCATTTCAGAAGAAGCAGATGTAAAGGCACGCTTCTGCAGTAATGGCATCAGAAGCCTCATAGCTTGCTGTTGTCCTTTGCAAGAAAGGAGGATGTGGCACTGGACACAGTGCCACAGCTGCCATCCCTAGATGCATTTCTCTGCCAACCATCATTACCTCCTGTCTTCCCTAGATTGAGCTTCAAGACAGACTGCTGTCATCCAGGACCCACACCTGGCTAGACAGGGAGGCTACATAATCTGGGTCAGATGTAACAGAGAGCTGCATGCCACAGTCATAACTTAGCACTTCATTCTCTCTTTCACCATCCATTACACTCTCAGGGCTGATGAAGAGTTACTACTCTTTCTTGTACCTCTGCAAGAAGGAAGAATGGAAGCACAGAAGCTTAATGTTACCTCCTTGAGATATGCTTGCAAGCTGTTGCATGGCACTCCATCCTGTCTGAGTGACGCCTGTTGCAAACCGATGCTCTGGGGGAACAGGAGAGAATGCCACCAAAGTGTTCTCAGAAATTCAGCAGTCACGTCCCTTCCTGAGGAAGTTGGTGCATGTTCATGAATGGGAATCCGGTTTCTCCTGCGTAATTAAATGTGGAGAAAGCTGGATGTCACGTTTAGTTGTATGGAAAAAATAATAATGACCACACATTGGTTTGATTCTCAAATACAGATATTGTCATTATCACAACCACATCTCTGCCACTTCAGGAGATCCCATCTGAAGCATCATAAAATAGAAAGAAAAAATCACAGATTATTTGAAATGCTACTTTTGTTTGCATGTAGGAGAGAAGAGTAAGTTATCACTGTCAAAATTATGTTCTGTTAAGGTATCTGATGTAATTTTTTTCTTTTTCTTCCCCTGAAACAGAGGAATGGTGCCCTCTTTGGCAACCACATAAACCATATTAGCAGTGACAGACGAGATTCATTTCAGCAGATCAACACCACACACCGTCCCTTACATGTGCAGCGGCCTTCAATTCCATCTGCAAGTGATAATGAGAAAAATGTATATCCTCAGGCAGGAAATTCTATATACCACAATCATCACAATCACAACTCAGTAGGAAAGCAAGTTCCAAACTCGACAAATGCCAATCTCAATAATGCCAACGTGTCCAAAGTTGTTCATGGAAAGCACACACATTTTGGAAGTCGTGAGCATAGATCTGAAAATGGTTACCATTCATACTCCAGAACTGATCATGAGAAGCGTAGAAGGCCAAGCAGTAGGAGGTAAACTTACAAATATGTATTTGCTTTTAAATAAATTTATGTATTATAAATACAGTATAAGAAAACTTACACTACATGAAACTGATTCATATATGTGGCTTCATTTCTGTTGCCTACTGATGTATGAAACATTTAAAATATAGCTCTGATGTCTGAGAAATATATATAGTTTTAAAGTACTGTTTTTCTTTAAAGTAAAATTATTAGTTACATGGACACTGTAATCAGCAACGAATTTCTCTAGCCTGCCTGATTTTCAAATATCTTTCTGCTTATTTTCATGACTTACCTGGATAGAACCCGCTATTATGAAACATATGTTAGGTGAGTTGATATTGTTCTGACACAATTGAAAAGTACAAAGTAGTTTCTTTTTTTCTTTTCCTTTTCCCCTTTTCCTATTCCTTTTTCTTCTTTTTTAAAGCAGTACAATTTTCAGAACTAACTATGGCAATGCATATGTTGAGTAACTAAGTGACGGTTTTTCAAGTGAAATTTTTCACTGTCTCTTCTAAAAGGATAAACATGGTAAAGTTCAAAATTATTCAGGCCCTTTTAAAAGTATGGGCAGTTTTGTGGAGTTTTCAAGAGACAAAAAATCACACCTGATGGTAGCCCTTGTTTAAAATTGGCTTGCAAAGACTGGAAAAGACACTGGCTTTAGCTTTGATAAATTCTAAAACCTTTCCTGGTCTTAATGTCTGAATATTTTTAAAGACAACTTTTAAAAGTAGGTTCTGTTGTGTTATTTGAAGTGCATTGCTAAATGTACTTTCAGTGCTAATTTTCAACGTCTAGATTTGCACATTTGATTTCTGATTTTTCTTTGAATACCTCAGTGAGTGCTCCTTAATATTTTAGCCTTTTGACAAACTTCATATAATTGAGGGCTTGTGTTTCGTCACAGTATTTTGAATTCATCTTTTGTAAAAATGTCTTAAATGTATTTGACTTCACTGAGCATCCCCATGTTAGTTATTTTAATGGTGATGGAAATAAAGGGAGGTCATCTTAAAGAAACAGATAACAGTCATGTTCCGAACTGTAATTCTACACTATTTAATATAACACCATATTCTGACAAAAGGAGAGTTGATAGTGCTTGTCTGTCTTTTATTTTTTTTTTCCTTGGAAGTGCATTAAAATAACTGTGTATAAAATATACAGTATATAAATAAAATATATAAAAAGTGTTCTCTACTTACAGATCTGACTCTGGTGATGGGCGTCGACCTACTATTTGCCGTGAAGAACGTGAAGTTCAAGACTATTGCAATGATGATCATTATTTGGGAGAGCAGGAGTATTTTAGTGGAGAAGAATATTTTGAGGAAGACAGTATGTTGTCAGGAAGCAGGTGAGGCTATTTGTTAAGCTGGGAAAAACATTTCAATAAATCAGGTATTGATCTGTAAAGGTGTTACTAAACATAGTTATAGTGAAAAATCTCTAATGATGTTAATTCCCTGCAACTGCTGGCAAGTGAAATGGTGAATAGGGATAGTATGTGTACTAAAGTTCTTTCATACTTGGCATCCTGTGCTGATTTCAGCAAAATTTCTGTACCAAATTCAAAGGAAAGCACAAAGTTCCTTTGAACTGAGCCTATACTAAACAGCGCATAGCCAGAGAAGTGTTTAATTTATAAGTGAAATTTAATGTACAATGAAAGAATTATTAAACTCAGGTAGAGGAACCTTTAGAAATAGTTTATTTTTTTAATGTAACTCTAAAAGTTAAGACAACTTAAACAGCGTAGGTGAAACTGTAAGCTTACAATGTAACTATAATAGTACAAAAGTGTATACTTGCCCTCTCAAAATCAGTTTACATGAAGAAACTGGATTCTAAAATTGAGTCGTGTAATTAAATAATGTAACTTTTGGTTATCTTGCTCGAGAAGGAGTAGATTTTAAAATCATCTGGAAGAAATCTAATAAATAAATTCACAGAAACTGCCTGAAATATCATTTATTGTATTTTAAATGCAGGCATATATATGATTACCACTGTAGATACCACTGCCATGACTCAGATTTTGAGAGACCAAAAGGTTACCATCACCCACATGGGTTTTTTGAGGAAGATGATTCACAGACCTGTTATGATACAAAAAGGTCTCCTAGGAGACGGCTGCTACCTCCAACACCAACATGTAAGTACATTAAGAACAATTTTTTTGCAAATCCAGGGTTATTTAAGTGCATTCAGGCATATTCCAGTTTAAGTAGGCTTCTTTTTAACTTGGATTTCAAAATGTGACATTTCTTGATTACTGTTGCTAGTGTGTGGCAGAAATCTCTATCCATCCCAAGAGATCTCTTGGAGAATCTATGGATCCTAGCTTACAAGTCAGTATTTCTACTATCTCTTGCCTCGCTCATCCCATAATACAAAAATAAACAATTTAATTGCCGGTTGCAAATTGATTTGATAAATGAAGAAAGAGCAAGGTAGAGCGGAGCAGTGGATTGCTTTGGCACTTTGATTGGAGGGTTTCAGTCCATGCTCTTTGTTCATGCCTGCAGAGGGGCAGCGCTGCCCTGAGTCGGTGCCCTTGTCTCTCTTGACTCTCCTGCTGGCACTTCCCTCGTCTCAGCAGTCATGCTGCTTAATGACATTGTAATCACTTCCGTTTACGTCTTCACCTTGTGCTGTTTTAGAAAACACTAGAGACAGAAGTAGGATAATTTTCAGGGAAAAGAGAACCAAGAGTGAGCTTCATGATGCTTTTAGTTTTTTCTCTTGCTTAAAGCGCCCTTAGCTTTTTAATGTGAGTTTCTCAAGTCCCTGTGAAAAAATTACAGTGTTATCCTGAGATAAACATCTTATTTCATATTCATGTTGGTATTTTATTCTGCCATCACAGGAACAATGCTTTAATCAGGAGCTAAAGCTTACATTTCTGTATTTGGATTTTAGATTTACCATAGAGACAATGGAAAGAGACACATAGTTTGCATTAAGTGGACAGAATCACCCCCCTAGAGATGCCTGTTTTAGTCCAATGGCTCTTTAAGGAGCCTTGATTGTTAGTATTCAGCATTAAGTGTCTGGTGATAACTGTGAGGAATCCTAATTCTATGGCATTTATTTCTTCAGTTCTCTTCACAAAATTCTTGGTCTTGGTAAAAAAGGTACCAAGAATAGATTCAATAAGTTTTATTACTTTGTACCATCAGGCTCTTTCTAGTTTTCTACTATGATGCTTGCAGCTGTGAGGATGTATCTGGATTCCAGATACTGTTCAGCATCCAGGTTTTTTTCACACTGAAGCGATCACACTGGAATGATACCCACACACTGCTTCTCATTGTTCCAAGACCAGCTGAAACATTTCCACATCAGCCAAACATCTTGATCTAGTTTAGATTTCTACTTTTTCCTTACTAGCATTTACACGAACGACAGCATACATAACATGGCTGGTCATGGTCATAACAGAATAAACAAGATTGACAATGTGACTCAACTTTTGAAATGGTTTTTCATATAGCACATTGCTTCCAAGGAACTGGGAATTTGGCATTTCCTTTGGGTAGTCTGGTTCATTAGAATGAAGTTTAAAACCGTGGGGAAGAAGAAACTCTTCTTTATAACTATTCATGGCAGTTTACAGCACAGCTCTGAAGTCAGGTGTCCGAACTAGTCTACTGCATAAGCCAGGCTGGCTTTGTGAAACAGCTGCTTCAAATGGTGTCACGTTGGGCTGCTCATATGGTTTCTACCTAGAACTGCATTTGCTCACCTGATGAATCTATCCTTTATCTTATAAGCAGCTGCTCACTTCTGTTAGCACAAGTTGTTTCTTCGCAGGGGGATAAGTTCTTGTTTGTGTGATAGTTGATTCACACTGGAAATAATAGACTTTGAGGAAAAATATTTTATTTTCCTAATGAATTCTGGTTTCCCTGTAGCAAATAGACGATCTTCCTTTAACTTTGAATGCCTTCGCCGACAAAGTAGTCAAGATGACATACCACTCTCTCCTAATTTCCACCACCGCACTGCTTTACCACTTCACTTAATGCAGCAGCAGGTAAACACAAAATTTGACTATTATTTAACTAATAATAAATTGCATCTTTCCAGCTTCTGTACTGTACTTCTGACTTCCATCATTGTTTGAAACAGTAATGATATATTATGTAGTTTGCCTGTGCACACCTTCTTGGCCAAGTGTAGACTTGTAGTTGCTAGGCACAAGGCTTCTCAAACATCAGCCTTCTACAAAACATTGAAAATTAATAGTTTGCCCTTCTGACTCTTTAAGTGTTCACAAAGAGTTGGGATGCCCTGAAGCATTTTGACCAGGACTGTATAACATGGCAAGTGTCTTTTAATCTTTGCCTATTTCAGCTCCATTTGTGAGAATTTGCAAGTACAACATACGTTATCTTTTGAGGCTCAGTGATGTGGTCCTGAGAAGGTGGTTATTTCCATGGCCTAGAGACACAATTCAGAATGCTTAGAAAATGCTGACAGCTTCCTACTCTATTCCCATAGGACAGAAGGAATGTTTTTAGACTTTGCTTTCTTTTTTCAATGTATTATATAAGCAATTATTTTTCTTTATTAATTCTAATACCAAGATTCTGAGTAATAATAGAAAAAAAACCCAACATTTTATTCTGTCAATTTACCAGTTTCAGTCCTGTTCCTCCTTCACATGACCGTTAAACATCAGAAAAAGTTAACGTTTCGGCTGCCTGAACAATTGGATTGAACTATCTGCTGAAATAGGAAATGAGTATCACTGAGCGATTGAAATCTCTAACTTCTAAAATTCTTTAACTTCCTAGGTCATGGCTGTGGCAGGTCTGGATTCTAGCAAAGCTCATAAACATTCACCAAGTCGTTCAACGCGTTCCTGGGCTACGCCACCCGCAACCCCTCCCAACAGGGACCGTACTCCGTATTACACACCCCTAATCCAGGTCGATAGGGCTGAATCTACAGAGCATATGAATGGCAGCCTGCCGTCCTTGCACAGGAGCTCTTGGTACACAGATGACCCCGATATTTCCTACCGGACATTTACACCAGCCAATTTAACAGTACCTAATGACTTTAGACATAAACATAGTGACAAACAGAGGAGTGCAGACAGTTTGGTAGAAGCGGTAAGTATTACAGAAATCTCTGGAGTAGCCAGTATTGTCTCTGTCTGTCCAGTTTTTGTGTTAACTTTAAAAAGCACATAATTAAGTTCACATTATCTCTCTGAAAATGTGGTATTTTTAGATTCAAATTCCAGAACTGTTTCTAGGTAAAGACAGGAGAGTTTATCTGTAGTTCTCATGTGGTAAATGATTTCTACTGAATCCAAATCTTAACATCAGTGTGTCAGAGGAGTGGAGAAATTTCAAAAGAGATTTGAAATTAAAGTTTTCTAGTTGAGGATCAGTTAATGGAGTGTCCTTCCACAGTGGCTGATAGAGAAGAGATGATGCATATGGCTGTTCTCTCTGTTGTTTCTGTAGAAATATATCACCATTTTTGCAATAATCTGAATAAAAGATCAAGAACTCTGTGAATCAGTGTACAAAATGCAGAGGTGGATAACAGCTACAAGGATTGATTTAGAGGTGGACTAAAGAATATTATTAATTCCGTTTTATATTAAAAAAGATTTGAACAGTATATAGCATTTCTGGATACTGAAATACTGTTCCTGCTTCCACCTGTCACTTCATTTCCGTTGCTATGAGCTAAGCAGTATACTTTGTTTAATTTTATTTGCAAATAGGACTGCAGCAAATTTCGTCCGTGTACTCTAAAGTACTGACCACATGTCTAAAATTCTGTGTTTCAGACAATTGTTCAAATTGCACCACCTGAGATACATTAACTGTTGTGTTTAGTGTATCAGCCTGGTGATTGGTGTTTATCAAAGACTACTCCCAAATTTCTAAAGAGAAAATTCAGATGTATTGCATTATCAGCTACATTATCACATAACTGATACAGTGTGGTTTGGAGCCATTTAATTGTTCTTTACACACATTGCTTGCTGTAGTGATTCGGCACGGGGTTTCTGGTATTTTCCACAAATGAGAAACATTGTTATGACCTGTCTGTTCTTCTGTAATTCCACTCTATATCTTATTTTCTCCCCTCCATTTGCCAGGTACTTATATCTGAAGGCCTAGGAAGGTATGCAAAGGACCCTAAATTTGTTTCAGCTACAAAACACGAGATTGCGGATGCATGCGACATGACTATTGATGAAATGGAAAGTGCAGCAAGTAATCTTCTCAATGGAAATATTAGCAATGGGACCAATGGGGATATGTTTCCCATTTTAAGCAGACAAGATTATGAACTTCAAGATTTTGGTCCTGGCTACAGTGATGAAGAACCAGAAACGGGACGATATGAAGAAGACTTAGCTGATGAAATGATATGCATTACAAGCTTATAGTATTTAGCAAGGAAAATGATTCTAATAACAGAAAAAAGTGCCTCATAGATTAAAGACGCTAGGCACTAGCTGGAGTGAATAACCAACCAAGTTCTGTACATGTGATGTCACACCTCAAGGAAGCCATAACTAATAAATTTATTATCTCCAGGTTGCCGAAATGTGATCAGAGCTGCAGTACGTCAAGTTTCCTCCCACGGGATCTTCAGCTCCTCCGTAGGAATAAGGTTATTTTGAAACCAAGCGGATTGTGACAATCAGTGTTTTGAGGGCTAGAGGAGGATTCTGAGGTGTAATATCTTGCCTGTCTTTCAACCTTGTGCTGCTGTCCTTCATAGTAGAGCAGGATTTTGGCAAGGAAAATGTATGTTTAAGTCCAGCACAAAATTGTGTGGGAAATAGCAACATAAGATGAGTGATGACATTACCTCAGCACTCAATGGCATATCAGCTACCTGTTGCATATCCATTCTAACATTGTTTTCAAACTTGCCTCCTGATTTCTTTTCTTAATGCTCTTCTAAAATACGGTTTGTCATGCTCTACCTGATAGAGGTCGTTGGATAAGGAAGTTATATACAGAATAATCTGTCATATGTAACACCAGTTTACATAGGAAAATATCATTCAGATAGTCTGTTTTATGACTATCACATTAAGGGCAAAATATACTGGAATAATTGCATTCTTACTAATGCACTTGCAACCAGGTTATAGTAGAATTAGATAAGATAGTTTGCTAAAAATTATATAGTAGAAATTACTGTAAATGAATTGTAATATACAATGATTTGTATTTGTAAAGAGATGTTCTATATTTTGTAATTATTGTACCGTAATTGAACTGCAGCAATATTTATGGACCCTAATTATTGTAACTCTCCACAGAATTCTAGATAGAAGTATTTTTACTTGGAATCTATAGATCTATAGCATAAATATTTACATAGAGCCACCTCTCAGTGTAAATCTCTTTTTGGGATAAAGTGTCAAGTTTGAACTTGACAGCAGAACAGATACTTTCTTTTTAAATAATTAAGTCAAATCAATCTCTCTGCAGAGGGGATGCACAGTTGACTATTTACAGTCTTACACTTGGAAAGGTAAAAGATTTAAAGTTATTTTAACTTTTTTGATTGAAAAATGAGCTCTAATTTTATTTTTCTATTAATCCCAGGATAAAAATAAATATAATCGTTTTAAAATTGGCAAGTTCATGCCAGGGTATTACTGGTCATAAGACAGTTTCGACAAAATATATTATCTATGTACCTGACATTGCAAGGAAGCATCTTGGGCAGAAATTATTTCACAGGTAAATGAAAATGCTTTCTTTCAGAACTATTTACTCTGCTTGGAAAGTAAAAAAAAAAAAAAAAAAAAAAGGATAAAATGATTCTTCACAGAACCAAAAACCTTGGTATAAGAAGTATACTATTTTATTGCCTCTACCTTTTTGTTGTTCTCTGTGTACTATTTCAAAGATTTATTTTTATGCAATCAAGAGAGGGCTTAGATGTTGTTCACAATGCAGTAAACCCCTGAAATGACTTTGAGGCTGAAATGACCTTGGAGGAAAATCAAAAAACACTGAAAGTTACTGTCTATTTTGTTAGCACTGGGTAACAATGACTTGTTCTAACAAGTTGTCTTATCAGGTTTTACCTGTAGTTCATATGCTACATAGCAATCCAGTTCACATTTTTACAAATGTGATGTTTAAAACATGTCAATAAACATTTTGTACATAATGACAGTTTCCTATGAATAGCATACAGACTTCCTCTGAAATCATTCTTATTTCAAATGCCAGGATAAGAACTTAAAGGTTTGTAAATTATTTCTTGACCTACATCATTTTGTATTAAAACAAATGCAAAATGTTCTTCAAAATAAAACTGTGTAATAATTTTATTATACTTGGGATTTGTTTTACTAATAGTCTTCCACCAAGAAACTCCAAAAAGTTAAATTCTGTTTACACTGTTTGAGAATGGGAGGGAACATGTGGAATTTAGTGGAATATAGTCATCAGCCTACACTGTCATAGCATGCAAGTCTGAATCTGAATGATTGCCGTTAACCAGAAAGAAAGTGGTTACAGTATTCATATGAAAAGGGTACTGTTACTACCCTACTGTTAATCTCAGGGATTGTTACTTTCCTAAATACAGATCTATGGAAACAATTAGGGAAATCTGACTAAAACCGCTTAAAATGTCAAACCAAATCTTTCCTGCTGTCGGCCAGAAATCACCTGGGGAGGTTCCTCAGCAGGAGGCACTTTTTTATGCTTTCCCAGCTTCCAGAAACAAACTTCAGGAGACCAAAATGGAGTTTTCTGGACCTGGTATCACTGTGAAATACCAATGAACCATTTTCAAAGTTCCAGCTACTGTGGTATACCCACTTCTGAAAACCACCTTTAAGGCAACTGAACATTAAAAAAGAAGGAAAAAAATCCAGATCAGGTTACTTAACTGCCTGGACTTTGGAGAGCACATCAAATTTGGCAGACTGAGCTGAATGACAATTTAATCAATCATTTGTTCAAGGAGACAGAACACAATATGCTGACTTCACTTTAGTTTCTTGCTAATATGATTGGTCCTTAGCTTTCAATTGTTTGATGTGAGACTCTTTTGAGATATGCTATTTTATAAGAAAACAGCCTTAGAAAAATAAATAATTAAATTGAGTTACAAACCAGGTTATGTATAGTTAATGGTTTAAAGGAGAACATAGATATGGATGCATAGAGTACCTGTCAGTTTTATTACAGAAGTATATGTAAAAAAGTAATTAATATATGGAAAGTAATTAATGTATGGATAAAGGTAATTAATATATGCACACTTGCACCCTTAAAATACTGCCAATCAGAGTTAATTACTCTTAGCATTATATTAACAATTAAAGGATACATCATGAGTTTCCAGATTTGTTTATATGTGTATATAATAACAGAATACATTACTAAAGAACTAAACATTGCTAAGTCTTTTATAGTGAAAAAAATTCACCAAAAGAGTAAATATCAAAAAAATATTCATATTTGAACAGTGTCATTTTTTAGAAGCTTGGATGACCAAAAAATAGAGACTAAAAATTGTAATTCTACAATAAGATAAGTTGCTGTTCTCTCTACAGTAAGTTAATTTTAACTGTATTTTTTAAAAATGCGTAAATGCTTTTATTATTTCTCAAATATGTTTCTATGTTTATTTTATAGAAAAATTCATGTTCCAGGCCCACTTTCCAGCTTTCCAGTGTTTATATAGCTGCCTCATTTAGTTGCAGGCTAACTGAAATCAGCCACCTGGAAAGGGTTTTAAGTTGCAAAAACATCAAAAGTTCTGGTGTACAAAACCTTTAGTGGCCTTAAATATAATTCAGTTTAACAAATGCTGCTATTTTCTGCTACTTTTATAAGCACTTCTTACACTAAAGCAACCTGAATTATGTGTGCAAAAGAAATATTTTTGGTCACTTTTCTTAATCTTTTTGTCCCCAGCCAGAGACCTCCAACTGTGTCTGAAGCATCTGCAGCAAGCTATTAGCAAGGAAATCCTGGTGCTCTCCCTTGCAGTACTTCAAGCTGTGCTGGCAGGTCTAGTAACTTCCAAATTCTTACATCAAACAGCTTTTACAGTTAACTTTTGTTGAATACACAATGTAGTATTACCTGCGGATTTCTAGAAAAATTTATCTCTGCGTAGAATTTGGAATACTATTCAAGTACGCACTGCATTATTTTGTTAAGTAAGTAAAACTCTGGAATTAGCCTGTGTTCTGCAATTCAGTAAGGTGCAAAAGATGGTTAATTTTAGCTAGCAGGCTGCCAGTGCTCCACAGAATGCACGTTAGAATATCTTACACCTAAATATCCCTTAGCAGACTTGACTCTGACAGAAGAAAAATTTTAACAGGAATTCATCAGATACATTGCAGGAGAAACTAATGATAGCTTGATGCTAGCTAGATTTTCCCAGGGCAGCAAAACTTTCAAATACTTGAGCTGTTTTCTCTAGCACTACATCAAAGGAATGTCATGAAAAAGCCTCGACATTCTGTATTGAGGACGCCTAAATTAATAAAGTAACTGCAGTTCACAGGAATGAAAATATTTTAAGTGCTCTAGAAGGGAAGGAATCTGTGAGGTGTCCATGTATGTTTAGAACTGCAAGAAAATATTAACGCATTTCAGAAGAAATGCCTCATTATCTGACTGGACAATGCAGCAATGAGTACCTCAACATGACACACAGGCAGTTGGAAACGTGTATCTGACCTCACTATTTCCTCATCTTTTTAGAGCTTGATGTAATGCCAAAGGATAGCTCTATGTGTGTTCCATAAAAAAGTTATGTAAGGCAGTGGCCAGTTAATCGTCTGCAGCTGCCTAACAACAATTGCTGTATTGCATGCCTAGAGTGGAAACCCATGTCATAAATCTGCAAATGCAGGAACTTCAGTATCGCATCTTCCCAATTGCTCACCCTCTCAGCTGCACAGGACTCTGGTAAGTCTCACCAGCATGTATTACTCTGAGTATTCTAACCCTCTGTATTCGAAATGACACTTAAGATACCTACTGAATACCTTTAAAGGAAAATGTCAAAAACACAGGTGCTGAATTAAAATTATTTGCCATAAAAAAGTACAGCATCCACAGTTCATGCTCTCCTCAAACGCACAGTTGCATCGGATGAATTGTCTTATTAACACAGCTAATAACTTCTGACTTAAAATATTCTTGCTCTTCCTCTCATTCCAAAAGAATGCATCACATACATAGAAAGGCTTTACCTGTCTCCTTTTGGAGCAGAGTTCAGTGATATCATCCTCCATCTTCAGTATTTTTCTTTGTCTTTATGCAGACACTCTCATGAATTAAGTCAGCAGCAGGACTTCCAGCCACTGTCTTACAGCTAGCAGCACCAGGTACAAGTATCTGCCTTAAACATCTGCAGTTGTCCCTCTAGCCAACATCTGAGTCAGCAGGTTTTTTTTACAATCTGCTGAAGTGCTGTAAAATTCCATTTTTTTCTGCAAACAAAAAGTTTATTCTGTTTACCACGTCCTGGGTGATCTTAGGCTACAAAAGCTTTTACTTTGTAATTTGGCAGCTGCTTAGTCAGAAGTTATTTTAAAACACTTAATAAATCCAAAGATCCAATGGATTCAGTTTCATTCAATGAGTTCAGTTTCTTTAATGTTTGGGGTTTTTTTTAAATAATCAGAACGCGAAAGTGAGTTTGACACAGAATATAGCCATGAAAGATCATGTATCTGAAGACAGTAAAACAAAGATTTAAGTCGTAACTAAAATAGAGCATTGGTTCACTAAGGGACTTGCCTTCTAATTTAAAAAAAATAACCTCTTCACGTATCATCAATATCTGACCTTATGCAGTTATTTTGAGTATCCTTTCATTTTAAATCTAACTTGGCTGTATTTATTTTTAAATAAAATTTGAGTGATAGTAAGGCACCACTCAGAATATTTGGTGAAAAATACCTTTTTGCAAACCCTCATCTTAGAGCAAAGACCAGTAACTTTATTATGAGAAGTACAGACCTCTTATTGTCCTTAATGATAAAAAGGTACGACTAAATCAGCTTAAATTATGAACTGAATTTTACCAAGCTCCTTGTGAAAAGGCAAGGAGAAATTCCAGTTTTCCAGTGTATTTTTGTAAGTATCAGCTCCTGTTCTGTGTTTTGTAGAAAAATAAGCTTCTGATAAATGCAACGTATGTCTTCCTTCTGAATCCTATACAGCTACACCTGCTATGTGTATGGTGAAGGCTAATTTAAAGTGAGGATTCATAAACTGCATTCCTCTCATAAAAACCCACATCTGACTAATCCCAAACACATGCAGATGTTTCTCATTGTGTATTCCGATACAAACTACTTTGGCTAGTGAATATGAAATTGCATAAATGCTTACTTAACCATTCTTAGCAGGATGTGGGGATTACTGACTAGCTGTTATCCTGGGTAACGCTCACAGCAGTAAAAACCCTTCCTTCAAATTAAAAGGCATACCATAATGCTTTTCAAAATAGCATACATTAATTTCTTCCATTTGTCATGCAACTGCACAGTATTTCTGGCTTATGTGTACAACTGTCTTGTCATTTCATAACAAAAAATTTGAATTGTACCACAGAAGGTCATGTTAACTAATATAAGCAGCTTAAGCCAACCAATTAAAAGAAATGAATAGATAGTCTAGTATAAGAGATTGGTTCAAACCGATAGTTATTTAAACAGGGTATGTTGTTTTGCATGGTATTTATTTTGCTGGCATGTTCAGTATAAGAAACCAATGTGCTGGTGAAAGTCTAAGTAGCAAAATATGTGAAAGGATAAAAACATTTGTTTATCTCTGTGTTTCCAACGTCTTGGGCTTATATACAGGAACGTTTTTCTCCTGAAGTGATGGGAGGCCCTTAATTATATCTGCAGCTTTCTCTGCTATCATAATAGTTGGGGCATTCAAATTTCCACTGACAACACTGGGCATTATTGAAGCATCTACTACTCTCAGGTTTTCAACGCCAATTACTTTTGTTTGGGGATCAACTACAGCAGTGCTGTCTGAAAGCTGACCCATTTTGCAGGTGCAGGAAGGATGATAAGCACTATCAGCCTTCTGCCTGATGAAAGCATCTATTTCTTTGTCAGACTGAACGTGGTTTCCTGGTTGAATTTCAGGCCCGCGAAATTTTTCAAAAGCTTTCTGAGCAAAGATCTCCCTGGTCAACTTGACACACTGGCGGAATTCCCAAATATCTCTTTCTGTATGGAGAGAAAATAAGAAAACTGTAAGCATACAGAATGCATAGCAGCAAAGAATAGCATCAAAGAAAAAAGTCTGGAGGGAAAATCTCTCGCTTATTGCTGAAAG